GTACAAATGCATCTATGGGACCATACATTTGAATTTGGAGTTTGTAATGGACTGTTCCTGAGGTTACATTTGCTTTTCTGTGAGTGCATACAAATGTGCATATGACTGAGAATGAGAGCGTGGAGTTGTATGTTCATGCACAGAAGCACATGTGAGGGTATGCACACATATGTGCTGTGTATTTGAGTGGAAGTTTCTGAGGACACATATATGTTAGTGAATGTGTATGAGTATATACCTGAATGGGAAAATATGCTTGCTTATTGAAGAGTACCAGTGGACACATGTACATTCATGTAAGAGAACTTATCTATGGCAGGCATGTGTATGCTCTGAATACAAACATGAGCACACACATGAGAGCTTGCCTCCCGTGCATGCATAGCATGCTGGCATGTGTCCACATTTGCAGACTTGCAGGGATATGCTCTGTGTGTATCGCTGTGAACATGTCTGCATTGTGCCCACAGGTGTGAACGTGTCTGTGGGTACGACGTGTGCATTCATGTACTGGCATGCTCATGCACACACTGGAACATGAGCCATCTCGCGTCAGAGTGAGGGCTGACAGGGTTGCATTTTCCAAAGGCTCAGCGACCAGTGACAGAGCTGGCCTGGGAGTGCTTGCTGGCAGGAGGTGAGTGGAGCTGCTGATTTGTGACCTGGGGGCGGGCTGTGATGACGGCTGGCTGACGGATGCAGGCGCTTAGACGCCCTCTATGACAGCAGCCGGCTCTCTGAGCTGCCTGAATCAGGAGGTGGGAGGTTAGTTCTTGACCTGTGCTGCTCAATACTGGCTTCCCACCTCCCTGGTGCTTGTCCACAGCCACGTGAGGACACACACACATTGGTACACACCAGAGACACAGACCCTGGCTTGGACAGTGGTCAGCCAGCCAGGCCCCTCTGTCCATCTTGCTCCCAGCTCTGCCATCCCCCTGGAGTGCCTCCCCTTCTCACCAACATGCTTCTCTGTCCTCCCAGAAACTCGACTCAGAATCAGAGTCATCTAGGCCCTGTGCAGAGCTGTGGCGGGTGGGAGTGTAAAATGATTTCAGGTCTTTAAAGGCTTCGTGCCCTTGAGCAAAGCGCAGGTCATCTGTGAGCCCTGGGTTCCTCATCTCATCCTCATCAAACAGGCCTAATGAAAGCACCTGCTTGAAATCAAACAAGGCAAATTATGTAAAAGCACTAAACACAGTAAACACGGCATCCATTCTCCATGAGATTTACCTATCTTAGTATTAATTATGTACAGTGCTGAGAACAGGGCCTGGCATGCCGCAATGCTACATAAGTGTGCTGTCACCGTCATCACTACTATCATCATTGTCATTAATATCCCTGGTTCTGAAATCCTTGGCCAATTGCACATCAATTCTTGCTCAAGACCCTGAATACTCTTTTATCCCATGATAATGATGGTGATGATGATGATGACAATAAAAGGGGAATATTTTTCTTTTCATCTTCCTAGATGCCTTGTAAGGAGGGCAGGCACGGTAAGTGGAAGGCTCTTTATTTTCTAAGCTCCTTGATAGAGCTGGGTTTGCTTATTTGGAGCCTGGAGCTGGCATGGTTGTATTTTCTGCCTAACACAGGGAGAGGATTTGGAACTCTTGGGGAACCTGGTGGGAACCAATGAGACAGATGACCAAAAGCTGTGTGTTCCATAAAACCCTCCTCTGTGACCCCAAGTCATCAGAAAAGCTCACAAATGCTTAGCATGAGTAGACACCTTGTGCAACCCAGTGAAAGGGCAGGACTCACTGGATTTCACTGTAGCTCACAAATGCTTAGCATGAGTAGACACCTTGTGCAACCCAGTGAAAGGGCAGGACTCACTGGATTTCACTGTGGGCTGGCTCAGCACCCAGTGGAGACAGCAAGCGTGGATGCAGGAGCTAGAAGCAAAGGGGATTGAGGGAATGTTACCTTTTCCTCCACACCTCACTCTGGAACTAGCAGAAATCATGGGGAGGCTTGAGGACTTCTACAGGCTGTGGAATGCGGTGGTGGGTAGAGGAATGAGCTCTCTGAGCACAGACAGGGACTTTTGGATACACCCAAGACATATGTTTGGGGCTTCCTGTGTGCCGGACACTGTGTGTGCTGCTGACGGGGTAGGTTCTGGGGGCCAGAGCACCCAGGTTTAAATCTCAGCATCTCCACTTATTAGTCCTTTGATCTTGCACAAGTTACTTAACCTTCTTGTGCCTCAGTTTTCTCACCTGTAAAATGGGGGCTGCCTCATTGCGTTGTTGTGGGATTAAATGAGTTAATTTATGTAAAATGCTCAGTAAGTGTTAGCTGTTGCTATTGCATTTTATCCTTATTGCAACCCTATGAAGTAGCTGGTCTGAGCATATGCACTTTATGGATAAGAAAATGGAGGCACATAGAGGATAAATAACTTGTCTGAAGCCACACAATGGCTGGGCATGGTGCCTCATGCTTGTAATCCCAGCACTTTGGGAGGCCAAAGAGGGAGGATCATTTGAGCCCAGGAGTTTGAGACCAGCCTGGGCAGCATAGCAAGACTCCATCTTTACAAAAAATTAGCTAGATGTGGTGGTGCATGTCTGCAGTCCCAACTACTTGCGGGGCTGAGGTGAGAGGATCGGTTGAGCCCGGTATATTGAGGCTGCAGTGAGCCAGGATCGTGCCACTGCACTCCGGCTGGGTGACAGAGCAAGACCCTGGAAAGAGGGAAGAAAAGAAAGCAAAGAAAAGAAAAGAAAAGAAAAGAAATGAAAGGAAAGAAAAGAAAGAAAGAAGGAAAGAAAGAAAGAGAGAGAAAGAAAGAAAAAAGGAAAGAAAGAAAGAGGGAAAGGAAAGAAGGAAGGAAGGAAGGAAGGAAAAAGAGAGAGAGAGAAAGAAAGAAAAGGGGGGAGGGAGGGAAGGAAAGAAAGAGAGAGAAAGAGAGAGAGAGAGAAAGAAGAAAGAAAGGAAGGAGAAAGAAAAAGAGAAAGACAAAGAGAGAGAGAGAAGGAAAGAAAAAGAAAGAAAGAAAGAAAGAGAAAGAAAGAAGGAAATCATACAGTGGGTAAATAGTAGAGCCAAAGGCTCAGAAGGCGAATCTGGATAAATAATGTTCTTTATTTCTGGCAAGATCTTTGACTCTGTGTGACCTTGGGTAAGTCATTCTCCATGTGTGAGGTTTAGACAGGATGTTCAAGGGACCTATGACTTCATGTCCATGTATCCCTCTGGACATATACTCTGCCTGTAACCTCCTTCTTGGCAGGGTCAGTATCTGCTAAGGCAACCAGTGCATGTGGAAGGGGCAGGCTTGGAGCCAGGGGGACCTGTGCCATCTCTGCTCTGTCCTATACTAGCTGGGAGACCTTGAACCAGCCACTTTATTCCCCTGGGTTTCAGTTTCCCCCTTCTACAACGGAGCTGGCAACCAACCTTAGAAATGCTGCTGGGCTTCTGTATGTGAGAGCTGGGCACACAGGGGTGAGAGAGGTGGCTGCAGCTCTCCCCAGGGGTCCCCAAGTTAACATGCCCATTTGTAGCATGAGCTATAGGAACCATGGGTTAAGGGTCCCACATGGGATGATTTGGGGGTTCCCAGATTTCCCTCCACTTGGGCTTACCATGCTAACCCCACATCCCTGCCACTGGCCACTCTCAATGGACTTTAGAAGGCATGTTCAAGTTGAGCAAGTTATCAAGTTCCTTAACCTGGCCTTCAAGTTCTTTTCACAACTACCTCCAACCAGCCTTCCCTGCCTCATGTCCCACCACTCCTCCACCCTGTGATTCAGTCCCAAGGGCCACACACCCTTCCTGAAACTGCCACATCCTTCTTGCCTTCTCCCCACCCCCAGCCTTTGCAGATGCTCTTCGTTCCTCTTGGAATACTCTTGCTCGCTTGGCCACCTCACATCCCATACTCATTCTTCAAGACCCAGTTGAAGTTACTTCCTTTGGGAAGCCCTCCAGGATTACTCAGTCTTTCTTTAGTGCTTCCAGGAGATCTTATTCTGTTAATTCTACTACTCTTACCAAACACATTATTTTTGGCTGCTTCAGCTCCCTGATCCACTTCCTTCCTCCAACTTAGGTCTTGAGCCACTGGAAGGGAGGAACTACCTATCATCTGTGTAACCCTCGGCAGTTTACTACTCTCTCAGCCTCAGATTCCTCATCTGTGAACTGGGGCTGACAGTACCTAAATGAGAGAAAATAATGCAGGTAAGGCACTGGGACATACTGGCCATCTCTGGATCTATCACAGTGGACCTTGGCAAATGTGGGAATGAATGAGAGCCCTCTGGGAGGGTAAGAAAAATAAGGCTAATAAGCATTTATTGGGAACTTTCCACATGTCAGGAAGGCACTGAGTTCAGAGCTTAACATCCACTATCTCATTTAAGACTTTTAATAATCCTTTAAGGAAGAGACTATCATTACCCCCATTTTACAGATAAGGCAACTGAGGCTTCAGCAGTGGAGGACCTTGATGAAGGATGCCCAGCTAGCAGGAGCTGGAATTCATGTTGGATCAATGTGGAATGAATGAATCACTTGGGTGTGGGGGGAGGTGGGAGGACAGATAACCTGTATCTTATAATCATATGGTTTTAGAGTTGGAAACTCTTCAGGTGACTTAGTCCAGGGGTTCTTAATTTGGGATCCATGAGTGGGGAAACTGGTGGGTTCCAAAGCCAGACAGATAAGGTCCCCGCCCCTTACCCAGTGGTTTCTGACCCCTCTGTCTCCTGCCAATCCTTGCATCCACTCAAGTCCTGGAGTCACCCAGCTTGTTCTTGCTTGGCTCCGCTGGTGTTTCAGTGTGGTCTGAGACTCCTGAAGGCTCCACAGTTGCTGGGGGTGTCCTTATCCCCCACGCAGGGCAGGATCAGGAGCTGACAGTTGCAACGTTTTCCTCTCCCCTTGGAGATGTAGGGAAAAGGGGAAGGGCATCTGGAGCAAGGGAGAGAGCTCAGACCTTGGAGGCAGACACACTAGGCTTCTAAGAACCACAAAGATAAGAATAGTAACAAAGGCTAGCATTTATTGAACACCTACTATGTGCCAGGCACTGTCCTAACCACTTGACACATATGAACCCTTTTCAGCCTCACAACTCTTCGAGGTAGGTTCTGTTATTAACCCCATTTGACAGATGAGGAAACTGAGGCCCAGAGAAGTGAAGTGACTTGCCCGAGGCCAGGCAGCTGGCCAGTGCCAGAGGCTCTGCCATTCACTGGCCAGGTGCCCTTGGACGGGTCACAGCCACTTCTCTGGGGTCCTTTCCCCTTCTATTCCGTGCAGGACACCACCTCATGGTTTCTCTGACGACTGAGCTGGTCTCTGTACAGCGTCCCAACACACAGTAGGTGCTTAGTAAATGAATAGCCTTCTTTCCTCTTAACTCTGATGGGGGAAACCTGGGGTGGGGGCATCTCAGCGGCGTGCTCCCTCCAGCATTCTCCCCCAGGCCAGGATTGAGTGACCCGCCCCTTCCCGACTCTGCAACGCCACCCCCATCTCCCATTCTAACCCCAGAGCCACGCCGCGCCCGGTTTCGCCTCAGTTTTAATGCCGTTGGTCAGAATCCCGCACCTCTGGGCCCCAAAGTTGCACCCCTACAGGAGGAGGAGCGAGAGAATCCGCTCCTAGCAAGTCCTCCTCCGTCCGGCCGCCGAGGGAGGGTTGGGGAGGGCAGGGAAGGGGGTCCACGGGGAAACGCGTTGTCCTGGGGGCCCCGGCGTGTGCTGGGCGGGTGAGCAGCCGCGCCCTGACGGCAGGGCGCAGGGCTAGGAGGCCTGGGCCTCGTCGTCCCCGCGGTGGCCGGCGTAGAGCGCGGCCAGGGGCCGGAAGCGCGGACCCCAGCTGCTGAGATAGGCGAAGTCCTGCTCCGAGCCCGACGAGCCACTGTGCAGCGAGCTGAGCGAGCCGGCCGGTGAGTCCGCGCCCTCGAAGGCGTAGGTCTGGAAGGCGTCGTAGGGCGGCACCGATAGGTCCCCGTCCGCCAACGCCACCTTGCGGCTGATGAAGTCCCTGAACACTGAGAAGTCCGGCTCGGGGCTCGGCGGCCCCTGCGGCAGCGAGTGGCGCTCGGAGGGTAGGTGGGCCTGCGGGGGGCTGCCCGCGCCCCCGCCCGAGCCCCCGACCGCTCCCCCGCCCCCGCCCGCGCCGCCGCCCGCGCCGCCGCCCCCGTCGCCGCCCTTGAGCTCGCCGAAGTCGTAGAGGCTCCGCAGCGCCGACATGTCGTAGGCTTCGGTGTCCTGCTCGCCGCCGCCTTCGTCGTTGTACTTGATGACGTTGTCCCGCATGTCCTCATCCTCGTCCGAGCTCAGGTGGCTCTTGTGGTGGCGCCTGAGGGTGAGGATCAGCAGCACCAGCACTGCCAGGGGGACAGAGGGGGCGACTGAGGGCCAAGCCCCTCCCACGGCGTTAGGAGGACCCTCTACCCCATCTCCTCCCGCTTCCCGCCAGCAGAGTGGGCCCAGTCTCAACGTTCCTACAGATTTCCTGGATTTCTGTTCAAAAAGCCATTCTTACAATCAAAACTGAGCTGAGTGTCTGGAGAGGTAGTGAGCTACCCATCTCGGGAGGTATGCAAATCGAGGCTAGATTACTCTGGGGTGGAGGTGGCCAATGGGAGAGCAGTGTTAAAGGTTTTCCCGGGTGTTGAGGCCTGAGGTCTCCCTTCTCAGCTCTATGAAGAGATATATTCTCTGAGGACTCTAGGTGCTGGGGGTGTGTAGCAGGCAGCTGAGAAACAGACGGAACTGGGGGAGTGAAAGATGTCCTTCACCCTGACCTCGCTTTCACCCTCACCCTCCTCTGCCACACCAGAAGTCTTGAGCTCCTACTCAGCCCTTTGGTTCTCCTGCAGGTCAAGGCCTGCAGGAACCCTTCTCTGAGAGCTGCAGGCCAGGTTCCGTGCCTTCCCCTCCAAGATTCCCCAGGACGGGGCTCCTTCCTCTATCATACTGGTTCTCAAAGTGCAGCCCCTGGGCAACAGCAGCATCCCCTTGGAAGCTTGTTAGAAATGCAGACCCTTGGATCCTGGCACGGATCTTGTGGCAGTGGAGGGGGATCTGTGTTTTAACAAGACCTGCAGACATGAAGAGGCAGCTCAAGTTTGAAAGCCACAGCTCTGTCATAGACCAGACCCTGCTGTGTTACCATGTCTGTCTCCTCCCCAAAACACACACCCTAAGGTACCCTTGAGGACCTGGGAAATGTTCCTCTATCTTGGTGGCTGGCATGCAGTGAGCACCTGAACCATGCTTGTCGAGTGAATGGATGACTGAAGGAAGAGTTGGATGGAGGACACGGGTAAGTGAATGAATGCTTGTCCCCTCTTGGCTTTCTTCACTTGATTTCCAAGACTCCACATTCTCCTCCTCCTCCTCCAACTTCACTGATCACTCATTCTCAATCTTCTAAGCAGGCTTCTCCTCGCCAACCTTAACTCAGATGTCCTAGGATTCAGACCTCAGTTCTGAATCCATGCTCCCTCTCTTGGAGCTCTCGTTTGGTCTCAACGGCTTTAAAAGTTCCATTTAGAAACTGACAATTCCCATATCTCAGCCTCCAGCCTGAACCTCTCCCCCGAAATCTAGATTGTACATTCAATTTCCTACTCAACATGTCCTCTTGTTGACCAAGCGAATCTCAAACTTAACAGGTCCAAAGGTGAAATACTAATCTTTCCCCCTTCCCCACCCCGAGTCTCCCCCATCTCAGTGTTAGCAACCCCGACTTTTCAATTACATAGGGCTTTTAAGTCTCTTTTGCTGACTGCTAAATCTCAGTGTCTAGCACATGGGAGGGACTCACTGGATGGATGTATAGGTAAATGATGGTGGGTGGATGGACAGACAGATGGACAGACATGTACCAGGTACTGTGCTGGGCACTGGACTCTTGTTGCTCCTCCAAACAGCTCCAGTGGCCAGGGCTGGCTGTGAGGGCTATGGGGCAGGGCACCTGCTCACCACCTAACAAGGTGGCCTGTGACAGGGAAGAGCATGAGAGCTGGGGACAGGCCTGGAGGGAGGGCACAGGGAAGGAAGGTGTCAGGAGAGAAGTGGGAAAGATGGATGGATGGCTTTCAGAGCCGAGGCTGGGAGCTATGGAGGGGGATGCCCACGGGAGCAGATGGTGAGGTTTGCGGGCGGCGGGCGACAGATGTGCCAGGCCTGATCAGTGATTCCGCCCGTCACCTTTAGAGCACTGATGTGCACTGTCTTCGTTTGTGGGCAATTAGGCAGAAATTTGTTTGCACTGCCTCGGAAAATGAAACTGCTGTAAAGTGCACCCTCTGGAAAAAGGGTTTCTGAGCCATGGGCTGGGGTGGGGGGAGAAGGGGGGCTTCCCAACTAGGAGAAGCCTGCCCAGGGCCTCTGCTGGGACCTGAGGAGGTACAGCCTGGCCCTGGGCAGGTCCTCAGAGGGTGGACAGAGGCCATGCCAGTGCTCGGCAGCGAGGGCATGGGGAGGCAGCTGACATCTCCCAGGGAGCACAGCAAGGCTAGAATCTGCGCTTGGACCTCCCTTGAGCTCCTCTAGCTTTGGCCTCAGTGCCCTTCTGTACTTGGGTGGCTACAGCTGTGAAAGGTGGCATATGGCCACTCAAATCCAGGTTAGCTTCTGAAACTTGACCTCTTCATTGGGGACACTTTGGGGTTCAAATGGCTGCTAGTGGGCTGGAACCAGTGTAGACTTTGCCCCCCTCCCCACCACCAATGACTTGAGATTTTGCTCTCAGTTTAGATTAATAGCAGGTGGTGTAGTTAGAGGAGTAGAGGACACAGGGTGAGAAGACGTAATATCAAATCCGAAGACTATCCGGTACCCTTACACCAGCCACCTAACCTCTCTGACCCTCAGCGCTTTCATCTGAAAAATGGGATAATATATGCCTGGCCATGTGGTTGTGAGGTTCACAAGAGCCCTTCTTACTAAAAGTCCTACATAGAGACTAAAAAGGGACCATTCACATAAGAGAATTAAAAAAAAATATGCTAGGGTGAGGTTTAGGCTGTGTAGGGGGTGGGCCACAGTGAGCTCATCCCTGGAGTTGGTGGCGGGGCTGCTCTGCACTTAGAAGACTCCTCATGGGGGCTGCATGTTAGAGCTTGGAGATCGTTTGGCCAGCCCATCCTCATGTGGACAGGGAAGCTGGGGCCCCATGGGGGCTGGTTAGGAAGGAAACCCAGGACCCCAGGATGGGGGTCAATCAGGCAGGGCTGGGTGGCTCTCGATGGACTCACCGACCAGTATGAGAACGCAGACCAAGAGTGCAATGAGGGCGCCGGGGCTGAGGGAGGCGGCCATGACAAAGGCCGTGGTGTTGCAGGATTGGATGGTGCCGGAGCTGTCGCAGCCACAGATGCGGATGGTGAGTGTGCCCGTGCTGCTCAGCGTGGGTGGCCCGCTGTCCACTACCAGGATGGGCAGGAAGAACACGTCCTGCTCCTGCCGGTTGAAGCCCACGTGCTGCGTGTGCACTGCAGCGGTGTTGTCTGTTCCAGAAGAAGGGGGTGCGGTGTGACTTGGAGCCGGGGGTCAGCATCCTTGTCCTAGCCACCTCTTGATTGCACTGTGAGATTTACCTCCCTATGCCCCAAACTACAGCCTCCCAGTGGAATCATGAGTCTCTTCTCTGATCTCCCAAAATTCTGTTACAAGGTGCCTCCAAATTCTGCCCCATGCTGCCCAAAGATTCTGTCCCCCAAAGTCTGCCCTCAGCTGCCCAAAGATCCTGTCCCCATGTAGCCCACAATTCTGTCCTCAACCATCCCAAGATTCTGTTTTCAGCTATCCTAAGATTTTGTCCTCAGCTGTGCCAAGGTCCCCAGCTATTCTAAGATTCTGTCCCCAGCTAGGCCAAGGTCCTGTCCCGGCTATGTCTTTTTTTTTTTTTTTCATATTGTCTCAATAGTTTGTTTTTGCTCTAGATTCCACCCCAGCTTCCCAGTGTATTCTGACCCTAGGAGTCCTATAGGGTCCTTGGGTTGTGGTTTGTTGGGCCCTGACAAGTCCTGGGTCATCAGAAGGGACCAGGTCATCAGAAGGCAGAAGGCCAGCCAGCATCTGCCTTTGGCTGTGGGATCTTTCTGTCTTTCATACCCCAAGGCTAGTTGAGAGTCCTGGAGCCTGACAAGGAGTCTCTGCCTAAGAGGCTGAGCCTAGAGGGCTGGGGGCGTGGTGAGGGGCCTGATGAGGGGCCCTGGAGTGTCGAGGTCGTCTCCTTCACATCTTTCTTTTTCACACAGGCGGCCAGAGAGGACAGTGAACAAATACAAATGGAACTCATGGCACTAGTTCAGCCTGTCACTGGGGAAGCCAGGCAGGACGCAGGGGGATGGTGGCTGGCCTTGGATCACAGGCTGAGGTGACAGGTGGCACCCCCTTCTCCGCCCTTCCTGCCTTCTTCACACCTGTTCTGTAGGAGTCAGGCCACCTGACCCTCTGTCATTTTGATGGCCCCTCTCAGTTCTGCACACGCAGGGGGACGAAGTGCCCAGAGCTCAAGGCTGCTGCCCCGCCCTTCACAGCCAACTCTGCCAAAGGGGGCCCTGCCTTCCTGCTGGGGACCTTCAGTCCTCCTTCTCCCCGCGGTCTTCAGTCTGCTCTTTCTAATCTGAGAGCCAGATCTGGGAGATCTGTTGGCAGCCTGGGTTCCTTGCCCTGCTTCGTGGCCCCAGTTAACCCAGCCCCTTCCCCAGACGCCCCCAATTCAGCACCCTAGATCTGGCCTTTCTCATCACGGATGCTATGCAGCAGAAGGAGCCCTGGGAACGTCTGACTTGTGGCCTTTGGCACATCTCAGAAGTGGACTGCAGGTCCAGATGCAGCGCAACTGGCCATGAGTTGGAAGCTGCCCACGAGGTGCCGGGAACATGAGGGTTCATGCCATTAGCCTATCTCCTTTTACATATATTTGAGAATTTCCATTAAAATGTTGAAAAACAATGCAAGTCTATCATTTACTAGCTGGGGAAACCCACTGAGCTTCTCTAAGCTTCAGTTTACCCGTCTGTAAACTCAGAAAGGGTATCATGCAGGTGTGAGGATTAAATGGTGTAATTCACACATAACCCTTAGAAAAGTTCCCAGCCCATAGAAAGGCTCAATAACGCTGGTTAATATTTTTTCAGATCCCGCCCCCATCTTGCCTGTGCTGCACCCACTGCTGGCTCCCTGTCTAGGCTGCCCTGCCTTTGCTCATAAAGTTCCCGCTATCTGGAACACCCTTTTCACCTTCTTGCCTGGGCAAATTCCTCATCCGTCATGCTCCAGCTAAATGTCACCTCCTTTCTTGTGGCCTCCTTTCTCCACTTCCCTGGGAAGGATTTATGGCTCCCCCTCTCCCTGCTCTGACTACACAGGTGCCATGCACAGTTCTGTTACAGCACTTGTCACATTGTGTTAAGTTAGTGTGTGCCTGTTTCTCCACTGCATGGCCAGCCAGGGCTGGCACGGAGCCAGTCTTGAAGAGCAATCCTTGAATGAACCACAGCTTTTGGGAGAACTGGTGGTCTCCGGTCAGCCCCTCAGGTCCCTGCTGCCACCCCATCCCCGGAGCTTACATGGGGTGGTCACACTGGATGGCAGCTCTGGTGGCCACCTCAGCCAAACAGAAGCAATTAAGGCAGAATTGCAGGCCCCTTGGGTTGGAAAGCCTTGGGAACTTGGCAAGGTTGAGTCAAGTTCGACAGTTCAAACTGGCTACACTCAGGCTTGAACTCTAGCTCTCCCACCAAAGGGTGCGTCAACCCCAGCTGGGAAAAATCTGCCTTCTGCAGGGGAAGAAAGGGGGCTGGAGGGCAAGATGGGAGAAAGAGGGAATGGCAAGGGACCCATTTGCGCTGAATGGATATTTTTTATGCATCAAGGACTGTCTGCATATTTGAAATACATAGTAATGTTTAATCCTCACAACCTATTAAGAGTTGTGGTATTATTCCCATTTTGTATATATGGAAATTGTGGCTCAGAGACAAGTGACTTGTCTGAAATTTTCCAGTGAAAGCACTCTTCCTTCCTTCCATGCATCCAACAAATCTTTTTTTTCTTTTCTTGAGACAGGGTCTCACTCTGTCACCCAGGCTGGAGTGCAGTGGTGTGACCTCAGCTCACTGTGACCTTGGCCTCCCAGGCTCAAGCAATCCTTCTACCTTAGCTTCCTGAGTAACTAGGGCTACAGGTGTGCACCACCATGCTCAGCTATTTTTTTTTTTTAATTTTTAAAGGTTTTTTTGTGTGTGTATGTGTACAGATGAGGTCTCATTATATTGTCTAGGCTGGTCTCGAACTCCTGGACTCCTCTTGCCTCAACCTCCCAAAGTGGTGGGATTACAGGCATGAGCCACCATGCCTGGCTTCCATCCAACAAATCTTTATTAATTACTATGTGCTAGGTACCACGCTAGTCACTGAGAAAACAATAGAGAGCTAAGACAGCTCACTGCTGGTCCTGGATCAGAGCTCATATTTTCATGTGAGAAACAATGCTAATCAAACAAACCCACAATTTAGTTAACAATTATAAACCATGGTGAGTGCTGTGAAGGAAGAATATAGGAAGAGCACATGACAGAGGACCTGAGCCAGTCTAGGAGTTCGGGGAGAGCTTCTTGGAAGAAGTGATATGATTCCTGAGCCCGAACAATGAGTTTAGGGAGAGGGAACAGCGCATGCAAAGGTCCTGAGGTTGGAAGAAGCATAATACACTCAGGGACCTGGGACACTGAGAGGACACTTAGTCCTCTGTGGCTGGAGGAATGAGGGTAATAGCTACAATGAGTCAAGACGAGGCTGGAGGAGGAGGCAGGCGCTCATTGTGGAAAGCCTGGGAGGCTGTGGTAAGGAATGTGGGTCATTTTCCCTCCCTCCCTCCCTCCCTCCCTTCCTTCTTTTCTTTCTTCCTTTCACAGAATCTTGCTCTGTCACCCAAATTGGAGTGCAGTGGCGCAATGTTGGCTCAGAGCAACCTCCGCCTCCTGGTTCAAGCAATTCTCCTGCCTCAGCCTCCTGAGGAGCTGGGATTACAGGCATCTGCCATCATGCCTGGCTAATTTTTGTACTTTTTAGTAGAGACGGGGTTTCATGATGTTGGCCAGGCTGGTCTCGAACTCTTGGCCTCAAGTGATCTGCCTGCCTCAGCCTCCCAAAGTGCTGGGATTACAGGCATGAGCCTGAATTCCTGGCCAGAATCTGGATAATTTTCTTAAATGCAACAGGAAGCCATTGATTGGTGGGCTTTAAGCAAAGAAGTGACCTAGTGACAAACCCATTCATTCAACAGCAAGTAGGAATTGAGCACCATCTGTCTGTCAGGACTATTCTATCTGTCCTCCCTGGGGATACTGCAATGGACAGGATGGATGCGGTCCCTGTCTTTGCTGGGCCTGTGTTCTAGTTGAAGGAGCTTATCATCTAAAATGCAGGAGTCAATGTGGAAGAACAGCCAGGAAGCTCTCGCGTGTTTTAGGTGTGAGATAATAGTAGTAGTGGAGGCACAGAGAAGTAGGCAGATTTGAGAAATGAGTGGCTGGCTCTGGCTCAGCCTCAGATTGCCAAGCAAGAACAGGGATGTTTGTCTCTCAGGGTTGCTGTCTTGGGCCATGGGACCATATGTTCTGGGAACTCGGGTCCCCACCACTCCTCCACCCCATGAAGGGGAATCCCCAGGCATCATCCCTGAATGCATCAAGTTGCCCTCCTGGGCAGCAGCTGGCTTCAGTTGGGGAAGCCGCTGGCCACCCCAGCCCCCTACCCCACCCTTCTAGGTGGGATCTGTGCCCAGCGCTGCATCCATCCATCTGGCCTGACATACATCAGTGTCAATCCCTGGCTGCAAAGGCAATATTTATAAATCACGTTTCCAAACTGGCTACACATTTGTACAAAGAAACAGATGGGTTGGGGTAGCCGTTTGTCACCTAAGATATTTATACAGTGAGGAGGAGGGGGCTTGGCAAGTAGTGAGAAGGGGCTGAGGGACTGGAGGAGGAGGCCTTCCACGGCTGCTATGACCTCAGCGTGCTGCTGCCACCCAGTCCCCGGAGCTTACACCAGGTGGCACTCTGGATGGCAGCTCTGGTGCCCCCATGCTCCCCCCGCAGCTAAACAAAAGCAATTGAGGCAGAATCTCGGGCCCCTTGGATTGTAAAGCCTGGTGAACTTGGTAGAGTTGAGCCAAGGCTAGCTGTGTTTCCTGTGACCAGCTCGAGATACTACTGGAATAATGAGTAGGCAGGGCTGTACTCGTTGTTAAAATATTGAAATACTTCCAAAAAAGGTTTAAATAGCTGTTGACACTGAGCCCCCCAAGTCCCTCCCTGCTGCCTCAGCCTTTTCCCCAGGCAGCCTCCCAACTTTGACACAATCAAGCCACGAAGGAGTTAATGCCTGGCATGGCAGGGTTTTTAGGGTCCTGCTCCAGGCTATGGTCAGTGTCCTTTCTGATTGGCCATCTGAGCTGCACTGGTTGTTACATCTGTTTATTATTTTTCATTATTTATTTTTAATTATTGATTGACTGAGACAAGGTCTCACTCTGTCTCCCAGGCTGGAGTGCAGTGGTGCGATCATGGCTCAATGGGGCCTCAAACTCCTAGGCTCAAGTGATTCTCCTGCCTCAGCCTCCTGAGTAGCTGGGACTACAGGTGTGCACCACCACACCCAGCTAATTATTATTATTTTTTTAAAGGATGGGTTTTCACTGTATTGCCCAGGCTATTCTGAAACTCCTGGTCTCAAGGGATCCTCCTGCCTTGGCCTCCCAGAGTGCTGGGGTTATAAGCATGAGCCTTACATGTTTTTAACAGGACTCCCAGGGGTACAGACGGGTCTGGCTTCAGAGACCACTAAGGCCTCTCACATTGGGTGTGAGTGTGTAAAGGCCTTGAAAAGGATCCCAGACCTATTCCAAGGCCAGAAGGAAACCACATGATCTGGTTTGCTGACCACATCTCCTCCCAGTCCTGTCTCTTACTCACTCTAATCACTCAGGTCTCTTCCATTCCTAATTCACCCCAGTCCTGCTCACCACGGGGCCTTGCTGTTTCTACCACTGGGGTGGTCGTTTTCTCTCATACCCTTTAGGTCCCTTCTCACTATGGATCCCCTTGGAGAGGCCTTCCCAGGCCACCCTGTTTAAGAAGATAGCTTCTCCTCTTACCCTGCTTTCCTTTTTTTTTTTTTTTTGGAAGTGGAGTGTTGCTCTTGTTGCCCAGGCTGGAGGGCAATGGTGCCATCTCACCTCACTGTAACCTCCGCCTCCTGGGTTCAAGCAATTCTCCTGCCTCAGCCTCTGGAGTAGCTGGGATTACAGGCGTGCACCACCACGCCCTGCTGATTTTTGTATTTTTAGTGAAGACGGAGTTTCACCACGTTGGCCAAGCTGGTCTCGAACTTCTGTCCTCAAGTAATCCGCCCACTTCAGCCTCCCAAAGTGTTGAGATTACAGGTGTGAGCCAACATGCCCGGTCCCTGCTTTACTTTTCACTGTTTCATTGAACACATTTTATCAAACCCCTGCTATGTGCCAAGCACTGCTCCAGGCACCCAGGGTTGAAGAAAGACAAGTCCAGACCCTTGTGGAGACTACATTATTCCTCCACCCCAGCCACTTGTCACCCCCAACACACTTTTTCATTTGTGTAATTTCTGTCTCACCTCACTAGAATAAAACTACGTTTTGTTGTGTTTGCTATTGCGTTTCCAGGACCCAGAGCAGACCCTGACACAGAGGCTTTGTGTCTCAATAAACGCTCAATACATAATTGCTGGACGTAGGAATTGATATTTCTAGGTATTAACACTATATCTCAGTGGCCCTTATTTTACTGGGGCCACCTAGCCACCCGGGACAGTAGACATCTTCCCTCTTTTAGACAATGAAACTGAGGCTTAGAGAGGAACAGGTGTCCCAGCAGTTTGGGAGGTGGGTGGATCACCTGAGGTCAGGAGTTCGAGACCAGTCTGGCCAACATGAGGAAACCTTGTCTCTACTAAAAATACAAAAATTAGCCAGGAGTGGTGGTGCACTCCTGTAACCCCAGCTACTTGGGAGGCTGAGGCAGGAGAATCTCTTGGCCCTGGGAGATGGAGGTTGCAGTGAGCTGAGATTGCACCACTGCACTCCAGCCTGGGCAACAGAATGAGATGCTGTCTCAAACAAACAAACAAAACACACACACACACACATACACACACAAAACAACAACCACCACAAAAAACTAGAGAGGAATAGGAGCTTGCCAGGGTGGTATAGCGCACCCTTTGCTAAGCCTGGTCCCTTATTTCCAGTTTGGTGACTAATCCCTTCCCCTCAGTCTATTCCTTAAAGGTTCAAACTTCAACATCATGAGGAACTTGTGAGAGCCAGAGGGGAGGAATCTCACAGTGGACTCAGGCAGGGCAGGGCAGCTTGCTTTCCCGGTGGTGTGCTAAGGCAGGAAGCACACTGGACTGGCGATGGGGGTGGGTTGAATCCTACCCACACCACTGACTCCCTATATGACCCTGGGCAGGGCTCTTTCTCTCTTACAGTCTCAGTTTCATTACCTGTAAAATGGGGAGAGGAGTCAGAAAACTACCTCACAAGATGGCTGTGAGGATGCAGAAAGAAATGTGAGTCTGGCGTGGTGTCTCATGCCTGTAATCCCAGCTCTTTGGGAGGCCAAGGTAGGAGGATCGTTTGAGCCCAGGAGCTGGATACCAGCCTGGGCAACACAGCAAGACCCCATTTCTACAAAAAATAAAAAAAAATTAGCCAGGGGTGATGGTGTGCACCTGTAGTGCCAGCTACTCGGGAGGCTGACGCAGGACTGCTTGAGCCTAGGAATTCAAGGCTGCAGTGAGCTATGATTGCACCACTGCACTGCTGCCTGGGTGACAAAGCGAGACCTTGTTTCAAGAACAATTCCAAAAACCAAAAAGGGAATGTGAGTGGAACAAAGCAGTTTTTAAACTGCAGGGTGGGTTGGGCACAGTGGCTCACACGTGTAATCCCAGCACTTTGGGAGGCCGAGGCAGGCCGATAGCTTGAGCCTGGGAGGTCAAGACTAGTCTAGGCAATATGGCAAAAATCCCGTCTCTACAAAAAATACGAAAATTAGCTGGGCATGGTGGCACACATCTATAGTCCCAGCTACTTGGGAGGCTGAGGTAGGAGGATTGCTTGTGCCTGGATGGTGGAGGTTGCAACGAGCCACTGCACTCCAGCCTGACTGACAGAGAGAGACCCTGTCTAAAAAAAAAAAAAAAAAAATCAAATAAAAAACCAGAAACCTGCGGGGTGGGGAGTGTGTGCACGTGGCTTACTTCAGTCTTCACTCAGAACGGGGGCTCTTTCCACCCTGGACTCTGGCACAACCATTCCTCATTTATTCCCTGTCTATATCTTCCCATCTGCCATTTCTTATCCTTGGGACGCCCTCCTCCACTCCACCAACCCACACCCTGCTTGCGTTTGGCCAGTGGGCTGGGTAACAGCTCCAGCTTGGCCCAGACTTTCCATATGATCTTAGATCCAACATAGGCCCTGTGGGCGCCTCCGTCCCTCTGTCTATAATATGGGAACAGGGCAGAGAGACTGTGCCTCTCCCTTCTTGCATCCTAGGGTTTGGAGGCTCACCTTGGATGTCAAGCAGAGAGAAATGAGGGTTGCTGGGAGCTTCAGGCACCAGGCGGAAATAGAAGCGGTGCCCGCCTTGGGGCTCGTCTCTGTCCACCACGCTGATGGTCTGGATGAGCTGAAGGGTGAGGAGGGGATAGGGGGCTAGTGGTGAGGCTGAGACCACTCTGGGTCCAGGCAGAGGGTGCTGCTGGCCAGTCCTGGAAGCAACCCCCAGTCCCCAGCCCCTCAGGGGTACCTGGCCTGGCTTGGCATCCTCGCATACAGCTGCCTCGTAGGGTGTGGCCAGTTCTGGGGGATTGTCGTTCACATCCAGGATTCGGATCCTTAGGGATGCCCGGGAGAGCTGGGCATGATTGTCTGTAATGAGAGCACAGGAGCGGGGGAGAGGCAGCAAGTGTGAGATCTAGATAGCCTCCTCTCTACTACAAGGACAACAGTAGGCAGTGGGGTCATGCTGAGAGATTTGTGGGTTAACCAAGCTGGTACAAGGACCAGAACTGGCAACATTTGGGCATAAGTTGAGTAATCATCGCTGTAACCATCACCACCATTACCATCAGCCTTGGCACCAGTGGCATTATCACTACAACCCTCACCACCACAATCACCAGTAGCACCCACTGCCATCACCAACACCGTCACCACTGTTAGCATCAACACCACCATCACCATCTCCACCATGGCCACCTTTGCCATCACCACCGCTATTACTATTACCATTGTCATCATTAAGCCATTACCAATACCACTATTTGCATTATTATCAGTGCGTCTACCAACATAACTATCAGTACCACCATCCCCATTCTTACACTGTTACCATCACCACTGCCATCACCACCACCACCATCAGGTCATCACCATCACTACCATCACTACCATCACCATTAGAATGAACCACATCCTCTAGTACTACACTCATCATCTCTACCATAAATAATACTAAAGCCATCACCATTACCACCCTCACCACCACCACCAACCCCAACACCATCACCAATACCACCTTCACCATCATCATCACCAATACCACCACCATCTCTTCCATAGTCACCACAACCACCACCACCAGCCCACCTATTACTACTATTACCCCATCATAATCACCAATATCACCATCACATCCCTGATCCCCAACAATGCTGCCATCACCATTGCCACCCTTCCCCTCACCACAGAGCACACAGCATGCACCTGGAGCATCTACATTCATTATTTTAAGCATCCTTGCAGAAATCCTGTGGTTTGGTACAATTTCTATCCCCATATTGCAAAGGAGAAACTAAAACATGGGATGCTTTCTAGACGTGGGTCAGGGGCAACTAAACTCCAAGACTTCTGCTTTCTCAAGACCTGATCCTAAACGGGCCAGACAAGTCCAGGGAGGAAAATCTTGGCCAGCAAAACCATGAAGTCCCCACCCCTCCAAGTTGGGATGTCTTCAAGGTCATGGTCCCTGTCTTATTTATCTCTGGGCTACCAGCATTGTGGGATATGGTACAGGTAAATTCTAACATATTAATATTTGCTGAATGAATGAATGAATGAATGAAGCCTGGAAAGACTGAGACAGCAGGAGGCTTGAATTCCAGGCATGGCTGTGTCCCTGACCCAGTATTTGGTCTTGGGTAAGACCCTGCCTTCTCTGACATCAGTTTCCACACCTGGAAAATAAACAGAGCATAGTGATTACGAGCAATGCTGGGTAGTTCTGATTCCAGCTCTGTGGCTACATGTCTGTGTAATCCGAGCCATGTCACGTGACCTCCCTGTGCCTCAATTTTCTCACCTGCAAAATGGGTCCAATATTGACCCACTTATGCCTAGCGTTCCATTATTGGAATGCTAAGCATGTGAGAGTTATTTATATCCTAGGTCATCGCCAAGGTCTGATTGCAAAAATTCAAAAAATTACAACCTCAGGCACAAATGGGTTAATAGGTAGGTGAAGAGACAGATTGAGTTAATATCTGCAGGGCATTTAAAACTGTGTGTACTACACATAGCAAGTGCTATATAAGCATTTGTAAATAAACAGACATCCTCGCAGGGTCCTATTAGCAATGACATTAAATAATTCTAGGATGTGGAATACTTTATCCCAGCCTGTCCTGTCTGAGCAGTGCCCTGAGTGTTGGTGCTTTCTAAGCCCTCACCAGCCCAGACCTCTGAGTGCTCTCTGGTGCCCCATCCTCTGCTATCTTGGTTACATATTCATTACTGACATGTTCATTACTGACATGTTCTACCTGCCAGTGACCTCAGGAACATCTCCTGGAGGAGGAAACCACACCTCACTTCCAAGCAGTGACTTGGAAGATGGGGCTTTCTGGCTGGGCTAGCAGGGAGCTCTTTTAGGGGCAGCCTGAAAGCTTCCAGGTATCCAGGCTCCCCATGAGTTTCGCGGGGAGTGGGACTGGTCGGCTGCCTCCTGCTGTGAACTCAGGATCCACTGTGTGCTGATGGCAGCTGCTCACGTGTTGATAAAGAGAGAAATAGAGATAAGAAGGCAGGTACAGCCACCTCCTGCGGGGGGCAGTCAGGAAAAGGAGGGGGCTGGGTTCTTAATTAACTCAGACCCTGGCTTCTCTCTGGAGTTCCCCTTAGCCAGGGGCACATTATCTTCTAAGCTCACCAGATCTGCCATTCCAGTGATTACAGGGGGCTTTTCCGGGGTGAGAGATGGGAGTCGTGACTGGGGATGCCGGATGAACCGTTATTTTTAAGAGTGCGTTGCCGGCGAATTTCAACAGACAGACGGTGGGTGCTTTTGGGAAGAAGGGGGCGAGGCCCACAGCCAGGAACAGGCGCCTCTCTCCCAGCAGAGGCAGGGGAGAGTAGAGGGGGTGGCCAGGGCACTTTCCCCCTGCAGTGGAGGGTGGTGGGGGTATATGGGCTGGAGGGAGAGACAGGGTCCTATGGGCCATGTCGAAGGTAGAGCAGGATGGACTGCTGAGTGGGTGATCCCCTCCTGGATCCTCATTGTGGATGAGACCCCCATTATAGCACCTTTGCTTTGGCTCGGCTTCTCTTACCTCTTCTTTTAAAATGTCATAGGTCACCTTGTGAGAAAGCCCTAATGCCCTTGGCATGAGTTAGAGTCTCAGACCTAAGCGGCGGGGCAGCTGAGTGACCTCTAAATTGCCAAAGTTGCCAGCTGCATTTTCTTTTCTAGGAATTCCTGAATTTAGAGCTGGCCTGGGATCCCAGAGCTCATGGACTGCCCAAGGTCAGCACTCATTGCCACTGCCATTGCCATTGTGGCAGTGGGTCTCCAGCACGGCTGTACATTACAATCACCTGGGAAGCCTTTAGAAAACACCGATGGCCAAGGCTTGGTCATTTATTTATTTATTTATTTTAACAGCTTCAGAGGATCAGCCTGTAGCAAGGTTTGCAAACCACTACCCTACGGTGACTGGGAGGTGGGGGAATCCAGCCTGACTGCCTTCCTCCAAACCCCTCCTATCACAATTAGAATCATTTGTAAGAATGGAAAATAATCCTATTTTTTGCCACCTTAAATGTTTCTGGGATAAACCAAGGAATCTGTTTATTAATCTTCACCTCTGTGTAGGATTTTCCAATTCATAACACTCTCTTATTATGACCTCATGTGATCCTTGAAATAACCCTTGAAGAAGGCCTTGTTAAACCCACTTTCTGGATGAGGAAACAGAGGTCCATGGAGGGGCAGGATTTTCCCCACAGCCCTAGGGGAGTCAGCAGCAGACCTGGGGTTGGGTCCGAAGCCTCCCAACTCCAAGTTCAGTGCTTGGTCCTGATACAATATCAGGGTCCCTCCTGCTGCCTGGGCATTTGTCCATTCAGCAGCAGCTACAGCTTACACCCAGGCCCAAGTGGATCTCACCCAATGGCCAGTGGCAGGTGTCCCCTCCAAGGACTGGGTCCCCCACAGCCCTCCCCTCTTGGCTTTTCAGTTCAGCTGACTGACATGCAAATTAGTTTAATTATTTCTTCTTCTAAAATAAATTATATTTTGCAGTAGCTGCAATATGTTGTGTCAGGCAAAATTACATTCAATATTTTTAAACTAATTGATGCAGCCTTGAGGAAGGCTGATTGACAGCCCGGGGCTGAGCAGGCCTGCAGCCTTAACCGATTCCTAAATTAAAATTAAACGTGCTTTGGCCCGGTGCTTCCTCCTTGAGCTGCCTCACCATTAATCCGGGGAGGTGGCAGGTGAAGCCCCGGGGGTCTGAGGGACCTGCGGAGGCTGGGCAGCTCAGGGTGCCTCGGGGAGAGACCAAACTCGGAGCAGGAGAACTGCTGTGCAGTGGGGCAGGTCTCTCACCTTCGCTGGGCCTCAGAGTTTCTTCTGTATAATGGATGGGGGATTGGACTGGACAATCTGGAACTGAAACCTGTGGTTTTTGCTGACAGTTGTGGATCAAGCATCTCCTTTGTACCAAGGACACAGCATGAACAAGACAGCACGGTCTCGGTCTAGTGGCAGGGACAGACATTACTCCAGACTGTGATAAGGGCTGAGGGAAGAAGCTCAGGAGCTGCGAGAGCTTGGAGCAGGGATCTTGCCTGGTGGGATGCAGGATGTTTTTCCCAGAAAAACATGATATTTCTGTTGAGTCCTGGCGAGTCCTGACTGGGAAGTAATTGCATGAGGGGCAAGGGAAAGGAAAGATTGTCTTAGGCAGTGGGATCAGCACATGCAAAGGCCCTGGGGTGGGAGGGGAGGATGTGGATCTCTTCCAAGCAGGATCCCAGCCCCTACTAGAATTCCTCATTTGACATCTGGACCAACCTGAGTGGGCGTGGGAATGGGGCTGGGGGCCAATGGGAAGGGCAAAGGAGACGGGGCCTGGCCTGGTGCCCCTGTTAGGGCACTCCTATGAATGTGCTCCTCCCTGGAAGAATGGCAACAAACACATATTAAGCACGTGCCAAGACCAGGGTCTGGACTGCCCCATTTCGTCCTGTCAACCACAGTGGGAGGCAGGGACTGGGACTGTTGCTGTTTTACTGATGAGGAAACGGGCTCAGAGGGGTGAGATGACTTGCCCAAGGTCTCATAGGAGCTGGTACTTGAAACTGGGTCTGGTTTTAAAGGGGAGTTTTTAACCACCACATGGTGTTGCCTTTTTTGTCTTTAGCTGTCAGAATGCATCTTGCCTTCAAGGCCCTGAACAAATTTCCCTGCTTCCTCCAGGAAGCTCTCCTTGATTGCTCTAGGTTCTGGGCGATCCAAGGATAAGCCCAAGTCCGCCATGCCCACAGGGTCCCCCATGAGCATGCTGCTGTGGCCTCTCCAGCCTCGTCACTACTCCACCCTCCCTCTTCCACTCTGCTCCGAGTTTGCTCCTTAACCTCCTTCAGGT